AATACTGGAAGTAATAGGAATCTCTTAATTATATAATAAATTAACGACCTTACTTGAAAGTGTAATTTTCAGTGAATACATGGAATGTCTCGTATTCACGACGAATTCAATGTCTAGTTATGATGGTTATACAAAAAAGCAAATTATTATAGATCACTAACGAAGTTAGAAATAATAAAAATCGGAATAGTATTCAATCGAAACAAAATTCACTGTTATGCTTACGAGGGAATCATCCAGGACCATATCTCGCTTTTGAGATGAGACTCCACTCATTACGCAAAATCTTTTGAAACTAAAAGAAATCTAGAAGAGTTCTTCATTCATGCGCTGCCCTTTGGAAGCTATGGCTGTTACCCTTGGCTTCTTATTTTTCGCACAATAATTATTACAAAAAAACCGACAATCGAGTGTTGACATATAACTTCGTCCATAGACAGCTCTTCAAATCATTAGAATCTCTTAAAAGTTTTGGGAAAAAAGACCGATCTCTTCTCGAGATATCAAATCAACTACATAGCACCATATACCACCAAAAGGACGGAAAGCATAGTTTCTTTGTATGGCACTGATATCTGGAGAAAAACCGTTCTCTTTTTCAGGAATTTATAGAAGACTTAAATAGATTCAATAACTGTTTATAGACAAAGTTTTAGACCAATATTCATTTATCTAGCTTCTTTTATAAATACTATGCCAAAGACAAAAAATCCAGTGTAATGGTCATTACTCCAAAAGAGCTTTGCATAGAGAAGAATCTTTTTAGATATTTTCTAATATCAACAAATCATACCTAAGACTGAGATCTCATCTTAAACGTGATGTATCGCTTTGACTAGTCTCGTAGTTATATTCTTGAAATTTGTCTATATTTAGAAGAATTTATACATTTGAAGAATGCAAAGAAAATTTCTATAAAACTTTCATTAGATTTCTATTATTAGAACTGGTACTTTATACGAGATTAGATTGAAGGGTACATCATTTGTTTCTTGTGATTCTACTCTAAGTAAACGACAAGAATATGTAGGTTATTAGAATTACTCAAATAATAGTCCAATTTTTTGAGACTATTACACTGAGTTTTGTAGAATTATTTCTGTTAAATTAAACTGTTTCAAAAAAAGAACAATATTTTTAATTGAATAGACTATTGAAAATTCATAACCTAGACATAAAAAATATCAGTAAAATTTATCTAAGACAAACTTGAAAATGTTTAGAAATAAAATTATGTTCATCTATACAAATAAATAGGGAAAAGCAAGACATTTATTTTCTCTTCATTATTCATTTTTCAAATGAACTCAAACAATATTTTATGTAGTTGAGAACGTTATCCAAAATATATTCATTAATTCAATATGTTGAACAATTAATGGATAAATTTGCATTTGTAATTTAATCTAAATAATTTATTACATATTTTATTAATTTATTGTTATCATTTACTAATGATGAATAAAAAATTATTGACTAAGAGTGATCAATATATTTTTTTTTCTAAAGATGATTTCAATCATAAAAATAATCAGAAATTGTAGCAAGAGCACTTACATTTATTATAAGCTATAGAAAAATAAAATCATATTATTGATTGATAATATTTATCATTCCTATATAAAACACTATTCCTAGGAAATAGAATGATTCATTTTTTTTTCTTTAACATTTGATATATACAAACTAACAATGAGTCTGGGTATATCATGCTAAAACTAAATCATTAAATCAATAAATAGGAACTATCAGATTTTTGGTTTACAGTAATATAAAAACTGTCATATGAGAAATATCATTCTTTGACAATTTATTGAAAACACATAGTATGACATTTGTCTAATTATTCTAAATATTGATATTTATATACTCTCTCTCTATGTATATATATATATATTCTACTAAACAATACTACTTCGGATTTATAGAAATAAATCTGTACTCTCTGAATTTATAAATATTCTATATTTTATCGTATATTTTTTTGTTCAAACATAATCATATATAAATTGTTATCTATATTTAGATATTGTTTTCTTTCAATGTTTTTCATATAACTCTTTTACATGCTCCCTGCTACTTTATTTGATAATAATCTTCCAGAAAAAATAAGCAAGCTGTTTTATTAGATATGGTAAGTATATAAAATTATTAAGACATTAGCCTGTGGCTATAAATTATGTTTATTGTTTCAGATTGGAAATAAATGTAATGATATGTTTTGTATTGACATAATACCATTTAAAAGAATTTGTTAACATTTGTTCTTGTTTTCTCTTTTCATGTTGACATTTCCTGTTATTTATTGACCAGATTAATTTAGTAAAAATATTCATCATTAAACTCGAAGAATTTTAGCTTTCGCTATTATTGTTTCCAAAATAAATATAACAAGAGTGAGACCTAATTTCTTTAGATGTCCTCAAAGTCTATTCAGTGCTTTGTGCAATATAGTGATTTATTGAAGCCTACAAAAATTCCTATTGACAATTCTTTTTCAAATGAAAATAAAAGAAAGAAAAATCTTGTTTCCGTTCTAGCAACACATTATAATAAGATTGTATTTCTCAGTTATATTTTGCAAGTGTTTATAACTTTATGTATTGTGTCAGTAGCAGACGCATTATGTTGTTTGTTGATTCAGATGATAATAATGATAACAAAAACTAATGCTTTAATGCCTTTTATTTTATGCATACCATTCATTATTCGAATATTTTCCTAATTTTATTTTCTTCTACTTAAAATTATTATCATTACTATTCGTTTTAGAAACGATACTATATATTAATTATGATTTCATTTTTATTTATATAATTCTATTGGATTGAAATGCTGAAAATAAATAATATTTGTTGAATAAAATTATTTTATGAAACTAATACTTTACAACATGTTTCTTATAATGCAAATAAGATTAGATATAGTTTTAGATTTAGAAGGCTTCGAAAAAGAAGCTTTCAATTTCATAATGATTATCTATTTTGAGATTGTATCATTATATACATTTATCTTTTTTCCCTACATCAACATCAAATCATCTATTCTCATGAAAATATGCTTTTAGACGATATGATTACGTTTGCATACATAGACAAAAGTCACGAGAGGTGAGATATCATTAATTGTTGATCATGTTCTGCATATTTATACGTCTGCTACAAAATAAAATCAATAAAAAAAAATCTAAAACCAACTACGATGACACTAGCACGTGTCAAGTAAAGGAAAAAAATGCAGATACGTAATAATCGAATCGTAAGGCATGTGCTGACTAGAAAAACAAAATGATTATACAACAAAAGTGATAGATAATAAACAGAGAGCGCACATCGGTTAAGAAACAGTGTTTAGAGGTATATTCTATGATTAACCTGGTTGTTTATCGGTAAGCAGTCTTGCTGCTTTTTTGCTTTTTTCTTCTCTCTCCTCTTTTTTTTTTCATCAGCATACGGTGTAAGTAATGACTGTGTGTATGTGTGTAGTCGGGAAAAAAAATGAGAGAACAGAGAGCGAAAGAAGCGTAACATAACAACGATGACGATGCATTAAGAATGAAATCTAAATAAATTTTTTTTCAATCACTGTATATTAATACTTACCTTCGCTTTTTTTCGTATCATGAAAATGCATCAAAAATAAAAAACACGCAAATAAACGAAAAAAAAAGAAAGTAAGAAAATTTTCTATCAGTCAAACCTCACCTCCTTTTTCCAATAACCTACATACATGCGTCTGACAATCACTAATCAGTTTAGTTTATAGTTTTCTTTTTTTAAAGTATTATCATGACGACCGTTTAATATCGATTTACAATTATTAATAAAGACTTATAACTTACGAACAAACCAAAACAATATGAAAGGGTATGTTTAAGATATAAGCATGAATATATGTATATCTTATTTGAACGATAGAGAACGAGCACCTGTAGTTTACATGTAATACTGCACATGATAGATACTTTTATTTTATTGTTTTTTTGTCTCAGAAAACACTAATTGGTATGGTAAACATCTGATGTTTATCTGTTTGTTTAAGTGAAGTATTTTGTCTATATAAGATCGAACTAACTCTATTCGAGGGTTAAGACCTGTTAAACACGAAAGTTGAGTTTATCAAAATATTCCTGTCTATTTTGTTAGCATGATGATACTCAATCTCGTTATATGATTTTATTTGTGCATTCTAGATAAAAAAACAAACACAAGCGCTTTGAGAAGATTAAGATTCATTTTTTATTGATGGAATTGTTAATGTCTTATGTTGTTTATAATAGAATATATACAATTCTTTTGCTATTAAATCAAATACACTGAGTAGAATGCATAGAATTCAATGAGAAATAATCATAATTTACTCACATCCATTTTCTTGTGCATCATGACAATGATAGAAAACGAAAATGTCATGATTGTGCTTTCGTCATTCAACTGTTTTTCTCGCATATAAAAAAATGGTGCAAAATAAAAAAGAAAAAGAGTCATTTTTCTTTTGCATAATGCAAAAAAGTGTGTGCAGAAAAGCACAGAACGCAAGCAGCACCCGCTTATGTCTACAGTAAAGTATACTTTTCGTGTAAGTTCCTTATATTTTCATATATACAAGTATTAACACAAGCAATAGTTCTACTTAATCCTCCTGAATAATACTTAAATTATAAAAAGGATGTATTCATGCATTAGTTAATATAAACATGAAATAAATTTCTCGAGTATATCATATTTCATAGAAGTACTCTAATCGTTCCTTTCTTTTTTGTTTCTTATTAAAAGAAAAACAAATGGAGAAGCAAGAAGAATTTTATTGCCAATATCCTGAACATATTCTCAACAATAATGATGCTCATTAAAAATATTCTAATAACAGTCACCTGTTTAAAAGAGATAATGAATAAAAGAAAGGAGTAGAAATACAAAAAAAAACAAATTTATCTTCCTGTCCATTTTTAGATATGTTAATTTAAAGCATTTTTTTTTGAAAAGACTACAATCAAAACAATGGCAGCACAAAAATTATCTCAAGAATTGATATTTATTTGTTTAAAATTTGGCATAACTTATCAATCAATTCAAATTGATAAATCAAATCCAAATGTTCTTAGTGAGCTTTATCAAAATGCAGTTGATATTGTATCAAAAGCTATTGGTAGCCTCGAAGTAAATAATCATCGTCATCATATTAAATTATTTCTCATATCACCTGATCATCAGCCACCAAGTTTAAAATTAATAACACGTTCAAGTGATTTAACACCAACATGTTTTATTGAAATAATTATATGGCGTTCAG